CTTTTTTTCTTGACAATATAACGACTCAAAATCCAGTGTTTCAGATTGCTTCTTCCCAGGCAACTTTCTAGCTGACTTTGCAGAAGAAAAATCCAATTCTCAGTGTAAGAATTGTGTAAAAGCCATGCATTTTTCTCCTGAAAAACGCTCACAAAGTGAACAGTTGTGTTTGCAAGCAACTCCACAGACTTTTCACCCTACAATGAAAATAGTGGGAAGCAGGACTGGATGGATCTTGACCACTGGCCACAGAGGCCACCGGGTGCCCTGATGTGACCTGGCACTTCCAGGGAAGAGCAATCCCATGGGGAGGACTCTGTGTTCCCAGAGAATCATCTGTTTTCAAACTCTAAGCAATACCTCCAGTTCCTCATTCTGCTGGACTGTAATGGTCTTTTTATAGATAAATGAGCATGACTTTCTGAGGAAAGGGTAATCATTAAAGGAGAGTCTCTTAAGAAAAACCAAAGTCCATTGTCAAGGAAAGATAATAACCCCTAAGTTTAACAGGATTTCTGGAAGACACAGTTTTCAGAGCATTTTTTTGTTTCAGAAATTTACTCTTCCTCAAAAAAATAGTTATCATTTCTTTTTCACCTGTCCAATCAAATGTGACTTAAGTCCTCCAGTATTTATTTCCATGAATTTTTCACAGCTTGATATTGAAAAATATTAAAAAGAAGTAAGAAAATATTAAAAAGAACTAAGAAAATAATTGTCATGTATTAAGATACAGAAAAATATTTTTTTGTTACTTAGCAAAATGAATTATTCACAGAATTTATTCTATTATCTGCATTTTTAGAAGAAAAAAACATATCCTTCAGTACTGCACAGGTATTTATTTACCTGAGATTTGCACTTTAAATGATTTCTAGTGAAGCAAAATACTAAATACCAGTACTATACAAAATGCTAGTGAAGCAATATACTAAATAAAGAAATACATAAAGAAACTTTCCGTCCTAGGTGTTAGAAATTCTTTCTTTAGAGAAACACATATAATATTTAATTTTTATAATACTATTTAGAGGCATTGCTTTTTATGGATACTATGCAAAGTATACAACCTGTGAACATTTTCACACAAAAGTTAAATCAAGTGTAAGTTAAATCAAGTGTATTTTCTATGTATAGATCTAACCATTTAGAGTAGCACCAACAAATGGATATCAACAAATGGATATCAAATTTTACAAGTGACTTGATATTATGTTACAGACACTTATGTTTATAATAGTGGACAGATCTCTGACTCAAATACTGGACTTTGGCATCAAAATAAGTGCAGAAGACGCAAAAATTGTAAGTAATTTTAGAATTCAAATCTTATTTTTCTTCTTCTCAGTACTAATAATCAGTCAGACTTGGATCAAGGGTCAAGTCCTGGATCTGTTACACATGACAAAGGGTACCTAGCAGATTAACTCAGCTGAAGCCAGGAAAAATGTTCATGATCTGATCACTGAGCATCAGACCACATCATTCTAGTCTGGCCTCGGAAAGGGATGACTTTTATCCTCTCAAAACTGGCATTTACTCCAAAGAGAAAGCTCTCACTGCAAGGAAAAAAAGAAGAAAAAAGGAAAACAAGTGTGGACAACATAGCTGTGGTGGTGAGAGCAGCAGTCAGAGGTGTCTTCAGCTTCCTCCTAGGGAGCTGCTTGTAAATATGGAAGGTGTGGCACGTCCAGCATCACTTTTCTGCCTATTAGGATAAGGCAGAGGCATCTTGCAAGCACTAGAGGAGATGCCAAACTCTCAGACTAATAGAATGCTGAATTAAAGTTTGCCTTTTTCCTAATCTCAAACTGAAAGATGCAATGATACACATCCATTCACTCAAGCTATGTCTCCTCTCCCCCTTAAAAGGCCATTTTTATGTTCCCCACAATCAGGGGCAAAAAGGTACAGCAGTTCATGGAAAAGAGCATTCCTTGCAAGTTTTCCTGCCTGGCAGCAGGAGGTCAGGCTGCAGCTCATTAGTCACACCCTTAACTTTGTCATGCTCAAGTACTTTTTTCAGATGTTGAAATGAGGCCTGAATTAGAACCTTAGATGCATCCAGCCTGCAGTGGAAAAGTGAAACACTCAGCCTGGAATTTCTTGTCAGATTCTTGGTCAGATATTGAAAGAGGTATTGAATCTTCAGGAAGTGAAGGTTCTTTCTTGGGTTACCCTGGCTAAAAATTAGTTTCACAAGAATTTGCATAAACAAATTTTTAAGAAATCTGACTATTTCAGGGAAATAAAAATACCAGTTATTCCCACATACAGAATAACATCATGTCAGAATAACAAGTGTTTCCATACTATTTATTTTTTTTGATCCAGAAACTGTATTTCTAAGTTATGCTATTTTTTCTATATGAGATTTAGCCAAAATGGTTATTCTGAAAAACTCCATGATATGATGCTGAAAATGTGCCAGAAGACTATGGCATGATAAATACAGAATTTTACATTTCTAGCTTGATTTTCAATTTTTTATTCCATTAATTTTTTCTTACTTTGTGTAAAATACTATCATTCAAAAAATACCCATTTTTCTGCTAGAAAAAAGATTCATAATTTTTTAAAAAAATAATTGCTACAGGCTTACATTTATGACAGTTGGAATTTTTTACACTACACTTATTTTCCTAGAATGAATATTACAGGGATCTTCCACTTACAGTCTCTCTGGTAACATGACTAGGAGACAAACCTTCTGACTCAGATGATTATTTTTTCATTTGCTTTATAGTTTCATTTTTTATCCCAGGCTTTATAAACAGCTCCCCACCCTCTCAACACTGTAAGACTGATCATGTCTTATTTACATAAAACAGTTCAGCAGCTCAAATTTGAGAAGAAATGCCCTCAAGTTTGAGGGGTTTCCATCTTTCTGTGATTTCACTTGATGCCCCTGAGATCAAGCTGGATCAATCTATGGTTTTCCTGGTCAGCCTTACAAGCTTCATACAAAACACCATTAAATTAGCCTCCTGCCAGACTGGGTTGATGGTTGACCCCAGAAACTCCCTGTTGTAATGGCACAGCTTTTACCATTGCCAGAGACATTAATTAATGAGACACAGTAGGTGTGAGATAAAACATGCAGAAAATATCCATATCCATATCCACACTTAAAAGGAGAGAAGAGAAAGAAGAGAGCAAAAAGGCAAAAAAAAACAACAACCTCTCAAAAGCAGAGGAATGCTTGGCTGCTTTTTTGAGAGTGTAACACTTTAAGGCATTTGGTCTGTACAAAAGAGAAATATTAACTAGTGATGGTTGCATACTTGGATACAGCTGTATGAAAACTCTCAGAATGTTGCCTGGACTGACTCACTTTGGCTGATCTGCATAGTGGAAAGTGGTTCATTGCTGTCTCATCTGGTGCCTCCATCTCACCACCACGTTACAGGACACAATACATATGGATATATCCATATCCTGGCTTTCATAGAGGGCTGGGCCATAGATCCCAAACCTGCACTTCATATATTTATGTGGACTAAAGGTGTTTTGTCTACAGATGCAGCAATACCTTTAAAGAAGTATCTTTGCATATTGGTTTGGGTTTTTTTGTTTTCTTTTTCTGTTCATATTTGGCAACAAAAGGGGACTTTCAACTCCCCCTTTTAGACTCAGCCTCACCAAAATCAGCAAGAACATTACACAATGTCTACAGCACACATGGACAGAAGAAGTCTTTCTCCTAAGCAATGGATGGAAGCAGGCAAGACCAGATCTGAACACAAAGTTTGTACTGACACAACAAAACTATGTCTATTTACCAATGACTTAAGGAGATGTGGGGATCCACACCCAACTAAAACAAGGCTGAAGAAAAGGACTTCTGCTATTAAAATGTCTCCCAGGTTATATTATTTCTTTTTCCTATTTTCTTCACAATATACACTCCACCCTTCCTTCAGGGTCGTGACTACACAAACTGTCTCTCTCTGTACAAGTTAATCCTGGGATGACAAGTAATTTCCTGCTTCTTTGGCAAAGGAATAGTTTTGGCATTAATGAAGATAAAATGGATTCAATTATTTAAAACAAAAACACAAAAGGAAAACCTAATATTGAATTTACAAAATTATGCCAAAGACATAATTAAGATAAATGTTGCTGTTTATGTCTCATTTTCTATGATTCTCTAGTCCTGTAAATCCAACAAAATTGTATATTGGCAAATAAAATGAGTCACTTCTCACGTGAACCCATACAAGCTATATTGTCTTTAGTAGAAGTCAGTTAAAAATTAGTTTCTAACTGAAATTCATCCTCAGACAGTGAAGCACAAGCCCCACTTTTGTTCATCTGGAGGTCCATTGGGTCTCCAAACACACCAAGGCTGGACTGTAGCAAGTGGGGGGAAGCACCATAAACATTAAACACTTCAGTTTCTTATGGCTGTCTTAAGTTCCAGAGGTTCTACCAAGAAGCAAACTTAACATGTCAAAGGAGAACTGTAAATCATATTGCTGGCATTCCAGGTCAGTTTTTAACCATATGAGGAAATATTATTTTCTCTGAAAAGAAACTCACTAGGGAGACGACAGGTTTCTACACTGAGCTTTCCTTCCTTTCTCTCTCCTTCATTTTTTCTTCTATTGCTCTCATTTTATTATTTAAAAATGCTGAGATGTTAGAAAAGACATGGATCAAGTCAATGTGCCAGGCTAATGTTTAACCTTAAATTTACACATCACAGATAAAAAGGGGTTGTACTACAAATTTCACAGCTAAGTCCCTTATTTCAGCTTGCCTGGCAGAACCCATAGTGCTAGGGTCTAAGTGCATTCCTCCTTAAATCGTCCTTAGCTACCTGTTTTTTAACTCCTTAGAACTGAATTGGATTAGAAAAAGTCTTTTGGCTGAACAGTCTTTCAATTTATTGTTTGTTATCGCTGATCTACAGCTTTGCTGTCACCAGAGTTAATCTGGTCAGAGCACCAGACACAGTAAACCAGAATCTTCCATCAGAGAATTATACAATTGGTGCAATGCCAAACTTTGTAGCTCCAGAAGGCAAAAAATTCGTGACTTGGGACTATGTTGTTTTTGCAACACTATTTTTAGTCTCTGCCAGCATTGGAGTCTTTTTTGCAGTTAAAGAGAGGAAAAAGAAAACCTCAAAGGAATTTTTGGTGGGTGGTAAGCAGATGACATGTGGACCCATAGCTTTTTCTCTTACATCAAGCTTCATGTCAGCAGTAACAGTCCTGGGAACACCCTCCGAAGTTTATCGCTACGGGGCATCCTTTGTGCTCTTCTTTCTTTCGTACACACTTGTCATACTTTTTACTGCTGAACTTTATCTACCTGTTTTTTATAAGTCTGGCATCACAAGCACTTATGAGGTAAGTAAAAATCATAAAATAAACGCACTATTTTAGCATAATTAAATATTGTGCATGTATTTTTTAGGGAATAATTAAATATCGTGCATGTATTTTTTAGAGAAAAATCTTTGACAGAAAGATTTCTGCAGTGTTTCACAGAACAAATATATTGATATATAAATTATTCTTAAAAATTATATGCATTATTCAAACTAGTTATTTATACTGCATAAGTTGAAATCACAATCTAAGGGTCAGAGCTCCTTTTATGCACATATAGTACAGACAGGATATGGGTTTACACACCAAAATTTAAGCACCAAATTAAGTTAAGTTGGAAAATATTTAAGTGTATCCAAATGCTTCTGGTCTTTTGATTATTCTGCTCTGGTTTAGGGAGACAGACTTTAAGAACAACATTCAATATTATCCAATTCAAACTTAGTCTAGATATGGTAGTTTTGGCCAAGTTACTGTATCTAAATAGCGGAGGTGGAAGGAAGAGAAAGATGGTGGCAGGCCTGCTCAAAAAATAAAAAGGAAAGAAGAAAAAAACCAGACAGGTCTGGAGAATGAATTCAAGCATTCTCTGGGAAGTGAAATTAACAACTTCTGAATTTTGTAGAGTTTTTGCCTAGCATTTTCCCTGGAACACATTTTTTCCTTCAGCTCAGTAGCAGCCCTTGTAACCTGCACATCCACAGGACAGCTACTGAGCATTTGGGATGGCCTCTCACTCACTCCAGTCAACTCCTGCAAGTTTGGTTGCTCCTGTCTGTGGGCAGTTTCAACTAAGCAAGAATTGGATGGTGGAACTGGATTAGTCACAAGGAACTTTCTGGTAACAGAAAGTCTACTGATACTCACTGAACCCAAACCCAAGGAAGGGCTTTGGTCAAACAGATCTGCCTTGGAAATGTTTTCAGGTCAATGAAGAGTAAAATTGGACATTGCTGCAAATAGTTGCATTTTCTAGTTGGTTTTGACCCAATACCAGAGAATCAACCACTTTTGTCATCTGAGGCACCAGAAGTGTCATTGTAGACAGAGAGACCCTTCAAGCATCCTGCAAAGATGACTGTTGGCTTCATGAAGTATTTTTAGAAATAGCTCATCTTAAATTATATTATTTAGAAATAGCTCATCATAAATTAGCCACATATTTATATGGCAGACTGTGAGGTTTGTTACACAAGATCAGCATGAGAAAAAGGAAGTAAAAAGATGCTTTGGCAGAACAAAGTGCACAGCCTAGAGACTCTTAAAAGAGAGGGAACTTGTACAGCCCATGCCTGGTGTCTGCTGGGGTGCACGTGGGACTGTGGCCCAAGAAGAGCCTCCCTGCATGGAGGCTGCACAGGGCAGAGAGACTCTGCAAAGACCCCAGGTGGTGATTCAGCCTTAAAACTTGGCCCTTTGGGTCTAGAGATCCACTCACTTCTGCAGTTCTTTTGAAGGTGGCAACACCTCTCTAGATCCTTGAACCTGGAAGTCCATAAGATCCCCCTTCCTGCCTCTCCACATTGGCAACGTGCAGATTTGGCTTTAGGCTGAGGAAGTGGGAAAGCCAGCTTAGCTCAGGCACTAGGAAACTCCACATTGCTGCTCCACCATTTGCTCCACCTCCACTTTTGTCACTGCTGGAGTCGATGCTGCTTCTGCTAGAGATGAGCTCAAGTTTCCTCACTGTGTAGTTGGAGTATAATTTCATTTGAAGTTTAAATTTCTTTGTAGCTCTTGGGGTCTTCCCGTTACTCCTGGTACAAAGCAGGTATTGATCACTGCAACCCAATACAGAACCTCAAGTACATGGTGCAGATGAGAAGATTTCTTAAATGTAATTGTCCTTATGTCTAATGACAACCCTGCTCTTCTTGTTAACTACTCCTAACAGCAGTGCCAGCTGCCAGTAAGTTTACTTGCACAGTAAGGTGTTACTTAGGGCAAACAGAAGGGTAACATCTGTGTCACAGATGCTACATGTGCACTTTACTGAAATTACACCTTTTCCTAGTATTTGGAGTTAAGATTTAACAAGATTGTCCGTCTTGCTGCAACCCTGATTTACATCCTACAGACGGTAAGACAACACTGACTCTTTTTTTTTTATGCTAACTTCACTCAACATTGATTTTCACAGACTAGTCTCACACAGCACATTTTTTATAATGAGGTGTTTTAATGAGTAATCTTTTTTTTCTTAGATTTTTCACTTGAACTATGAATGCTAAAAAGAAAGTTTGGTTATGTTTTTAACTAACTTCTCAAACTTTTCCTGTTTAGCATTAAGAATGCCATTTTAGCTGTCTTTAACACTCTTTAACTGTCTTTAACAGCACATTCTTGGTTTCATTATGTTCACTTAAAGCCTCTCTCTCTTCCCAAACATGTGGATTCTGTTTTTCTTGAGAAGCTGGCCAAGCTTGACCGGGTATGTTTAGTTACCCATTTATGACACTGAGGCGAATTATCCTATTTGAAAACTGCTGCACAAAATATCCTGGGCAGATGCCTGGGTAGCTGTGGTCCCGTGATGGTGACTGCTGTGACCATCTTGAAGGGTTACATTAGTTGTGTATTTAATGGAAATATGGGTTTTGATGGGAGATGATGAGACATTTCCTTCTGCATTAATTCAACTTAAATAATTCCCAGACCTTTGTCAGTAGATCTGAATGCTTATTGACTTTGATGCTTTGTTTCTCCACCAGTTCTCTCAGATCTTACATGTAAAGGGTATTGGGTTAGTTATTTTGAAAGGGATTGAATGGAAAAATGAAAAATTAATTTCTAAGATAAATGCAACTTAATTTCTGTGTCACTGTGTTTTCTGGAGACACCCTTTTTGTATTTCATGAGGATATATTGTCATCTATTTGTCTTAGCATTAGAGAAAAAAGTAATACAAAGACAGAAAATAGTCCTTCCCTCAGAAAGTAATTAAACACAAGATTTTAATTTTTAAGGGCTGAAACAGAAAGCCATATACAAGACCAGCTGATCTAAAGAAACCCCTAGATCTGGTGTTTTGCTCAGAGCCCTACTCTAAATACAGGTTTTATCACTGAGCACTCAAATACATCATTTTTCTCCTTCAGATCCTTTACACGGGAATAGTTGTCTATGCTCCATCACTGGCACTCAACCAAGGTGAGTTCTTATGCTGCTAACCCAAATAACCACACCAGAAGGATTGCTTGAGTAAACGAAGTAACAAAAATAGATAAAGACAAAAACCCAACCATCCTCAAAGGTTCTATAAGAAGGATTTTGCCTTCACCTTGTAGCTCTGCATTTCTGGCTCCTCAGGTTCCCCTCACACCCAAACATTAGCAGGAGCCTCGTGGTTGCTCTTCTCCTTTCCTCTCAGAACCACCTGAAGGGATTTCAAGCACACAATTTCCCAATATCCCGACAAAGTTCACAGTACAAGCTGATGATCCAAGACCATACTATGTACTTTGATTCCCCCTCTCCCTGTCTTTTGTATTCAGGTTTCCATGGGCATAACTCTTTTCCCCATGGCCAGAGATGAATGCTGTTCTGCTGTCTGTCCCCAGACTTCTTAAATTAATATTTGCAAACTAGGCAGAGAGCATCCATCACCACAGATGGGATTTGCAATTTTACTGTCATAGGGCACAAGGAATCATCATGGCCCAAATCCTGATTTTACCAAAACTGACTGGGAGGCTGTTTTCATTATTCATTATCTGAGTTACATTCAGTCTGTCCAGTCCCACTGCTCACACAGCACCAGATTTTCTGCCTCTGTCATGCAGCTGAATTCCATGTGAAAGTTCTCAGTCATGATTACACCATACTAACTTTGCTAATGAGAAAACCTTTACGAATAGCTTTGCCCTCACAGACTATGAGTGGTGGGTGAGATTTCAGTATCAGCCAAAACAAAATTTGTGCACCTTGTGCAAAGAAGCTACGAAGCAAATGAACACAGAAAGTTGTTTTAATGAAGCACATTTTAGCATTATACCATTAGATGCAGGTAATGGACTTTACTTAGGGGTTGGGGTTTTTTTTTGTCTTAGGATTTTTGGGAATCTCTGAAGAACTTGGTTTCTGAAGACAAAGTTCTGGTCTAAGAACAGAAGTGAGGCATTGCTTGTACACTCTGTCCCATCAGAATGACATTTTTGCTTTATGCAAGTCTTCTTAAATGTTACTTTTGCTTGAAAATGAGTTAATTTCAGTTTGAAAGAAAACAACAATGCAAAACAGTCTTCCTTAACACTTGAACAATCAAGCAAAGATTGATAGACACAAAATATTAAAATTAATAATTACTCCTATCCATTTAAAGCTAAAGGATGGCAGCTCTTCTGTTACCTTCCAGATGGTTACATCCATTTCACTAACAATTCTGTTTTCATTGGTTTCACAGTCACTGGATTTGATCTCTGGGGCTCTGTGGCTGCAACAGGAATTGTCTGCACTTTCTATTGCACTCTGGTATGTAACAGGCATAACTGAACAACTGGAACATAGACAGTTAATTTGACCATCCTTTAAACATGACAGACTATCAGAGAAGGATGGCTCCTGTGGAGAACATAGAGATAAATTTCTTCGACACTCTGTGCTATAAGGAAGTTTATTTGGAGGGGAAAAAAATCCTCTCTAATCCTCTGCTGTATGTCTCCATGTTTAAACCAGACATCTTGAGACAGAGTCCAGATAAGGAGGCCATAAGCTTCCCCTGTCATCTTTTGAGAAGATGATTCTTATCTTACAAATTATGGGCTGAAAAACACTGGAACGAAAATTGTGCTCAAGAGCAAAGCACAAAAACCTAGGAAGGACAAGCAACAGGTCAGAGAGCTTTACTTTTGAGTGGAAGCAACATGAGACTCCAAATTCCAAAACAGTTATATTGTATAGATATTTGTAGGGAAGCAGCAGAGCCCAGGGGCTGAGGACACAAACAAATTGCCATTCCCTTTGCCTCTAATGATTTTTTTCAATATATCACTCCACTCTAGTTGAAAACACTTATGATATGCTCTAGTAGTGATTTGATCAAATGGGAAAGTAGCTGTGGAAGAAAGCTGAATGGCAAACTTTCCAGAGCTATTTTTCTGTGTTAGGCTAACAGTGGACCACTGGGCTCTTAGAATATATGGAGTTCTACTTGATGTAGGAACAGGCCAAAAGTCCCTAAGCTTTTCTTCCACACCATGATATGTTCTTCAAATGCATATTAAGGAGGCAGAAAAAAAGCATTTAACTGAAAGTCAAATATTCTCCTGTGCCCATGGACAAGCTATCTAGGCTGTGAAATTTTCTGACCTGCAAAAAGACACACTTTGTGGGAGAATGCAAAGCCCTGGTTTGCTCGGTGCTGTACAGCTCACGAGCTGTCCAAGTAAGGAGTCTTTCTACACTTTTCAGTGCTTTAGCAGCAGGAAAGAAGATTGAGGGTATACAGTTTCTCTTTGTTTTAGGGAGGATTAAAAGCTGTTGTCTGGACAGATGCATTTCAAATGATTGTTATGGTGGCTGGCTTCGTGACGGTTTTGGTTCGAGGAACTAGTGTGAATGGTGGATTGACCAAAGTCTGGGAAGATGCCCATGAAGGATCCCGGCTAAACATATTTGAGTAAGAAACAAGTTATGCAAACCATTCCTTTCTGTATGTTTAATGTTTAGAAACCATACCCTCAGTAAGCCAAAAAATACACAGACTTGGTTTTAAACAACCTTGGTGACTCAGGAAAGCCCATTCCTCATCTCTTCATGTATTTGACCTTTAAGAAAGTTTTACTCTTTCAAGAAATCAAAAGTCTGCTGAACTGAAGGGGAGATTTGCCATTTTTCCTTGTGTAGCTACAAATGCAGCCCAGTTATTCCTTCCAATTTCATACACAGAATATTCTGAGTTGGGAGGGATCCACAATAATCAACAAGTCCAGCTCATAAGTAAATGGCTCATACAGGGATCAAACATGAAACCTTGATGCCATTAGCAGTGTGTTCTAATCAACTGAGCTAATCTCAGCAGCTAATTGTATATATCTTTATTTTTCTATTCATAAAACTGACACTACATTTTAATTGCACTCACCACAGCAGCAATCAAAAGAGCACCAGTGCTCTGGGACAGAAATCTGACCTTCCTTTGGCTGTTTGGGGTATTTGTTGGTTAATCAAGGCAAGTCCATGACAGAATCCAGCAGCAAGGTCAAATGTTATCTGCTGTCCCCACCAAGATAAGGGGAACTGCAAGGATAACATATTCAAGACAGAAATATATTCTTGTATGAGTTAGGTTTGCTGAGTAACAGGATTTTGTTGTACAAAAGATAAAACAGCAGCTGAAGCAATTTCTTGTAAAGGAAGTTATATCATAATGATGTGTCACTAAAAGTTTACAGAATTCTTTTAGAGTTTAGTAAGCAACCTTGTTCCTTTCAGAAGATGGGGTCCCAGACAGGGTGACTTGTAAGTCTGCTACAACATGACACAGGTTTGATGTCTGAGCATGAGCATCCATATAAATTTAATTAATCTCAGTTAAGTGATCCTCTGACTAGGTCAGAATGGTATTTGTTTACCCTGACTTGAAAACAATGTGTTCCAGTATAAAAGTAAAAAAAAACCAAACTCCCAAAGCTGAGCACATCAGGTGTCTGTTCTGGAAAACAGTATCACCAATGCAAAATTTCTGATTCAGATGGTAGGACATGCCAGATAGCTCTGAAAAAAAATCACCTACCTCTTGCTGAAAAAATATGTTTAAATAAAAAACTAAATTGTTTTTTCTTTCTTTCTTTGTTTATTTCTTCTAGCTTTGATGTTGATCCTTTAAGAAGACACACCTTCTGGACAATAGTTATTGGGGGAACATTTACATGGCTAGGGCTCTATGGAGTCAATCAGTCCACGATACAAAGATGTGTTTCCTGCAAATCAGAAAAGCATGCTAAACTGTAAGCTACCTGTCATTAACCTGTTCTTGCAATCCATCAAGAATTACACTAAGTTTGTCAGCTACACTAAATAAATATTGGGATCCCATTAGGTGGTAGGAAGCTAATTTTACTCTGACAGTCTTACTGCCTCTGTCTCAAAATTACTTAAGTATATGCAGAGGAAAAAGAAAAATCTATCTCTTGCAGCTTATCAATTTATGATCAGGCTGATAAACTAATCCTCAGAAGGAGAGGATGGCAAAGGTGCCAACACAGAAGTTGTGCTATCTACAAATCAATTGTAAAAATGTATCTGTTGGAGCTGTGTTTATGTTATACTGGATTAAAAGTTGTTATTGATTTGGTGGAGCACTACAGTACAAGGTATTACCTATTTAAAATTAAATCTTAACAATTTCTTAAAATTCTGCAGCATCAGAATAATCAGAATCAATGAAGAACAAAGTGAATCTTCAAACTATAAATATGCAGGTCTCCAGCTTGCTACCTGCCTCAACTTCAGCAGTAGTTTGTGCATAGCTAGACATTTTACTCAACAATCAGATTTTTTTCACACACGTAGGGCCAATTGCTTGCACTTGTGGCTAAAGAATAAAGGTGGTAATTTTTTCCTTTTTCAAACAGTTAGATTTTTTTGCTGCCTGTAAACATATTGATTTTTCTGAAGGTCATGACTGTCTATATTAATTTATCCTGTAAAAAACACAGTGTCTGAAAAACATCTAGAAGTCACACCAGTGGGAACATCACTAGTAACAAGCTGGATTAACCTTTGTTTCCTGGTAGCACACTCTGAACTTGTCTTAGCAATAGATCTTGTGCAAGGTGATGTCCAAACATGATGTGAGCTCTGATATGAAATGAAATGAAATGACATGAAATGAAATGAAATGAAATGAAATTAGATTAAATTAAATCTGGCAGCTCTCAGAACCTGCAGGATTGCTGACCCACAGCCACACAATCTTCCTAGCAGATCCTGTCACCCACATCCACATTCCATTTCATGGAATAGTGAAAACAACCAAGACTGTTACTTTTCATGGTAACATTGGAAATAATATTCTGTGTGCATTAAAGGCAGGAGAGCATCAACATCTCCCAAAAATCTGTTCAACATGTCCCAAAAATCTGAACAAGGGACAGGAATGACAGACCCAGCACTCAGTGCAGCCCATTCTGAGTAGAGGTTACTTGACTCTTCCAGCTCATTTTTTTAAATCTTGCTTTGAATTGTACAGCCAGTTTGAATTACATAACCAGTTGGGATTAAGGGGTCTCCCAAAAAAAGTTCAGAATAAATATCTTTTAACAACATTTTTATTTATCGTCCATGAAACAGTTTCTCTCTTTTGCTCTAGGGCACTTTACCTGAATTTATTGGGACTTTGGACAGTCCTAGTGTGTGCAGTATTTTGTGGATTGGTGATGTACTCTCATTACAAGAGTTGTGACCCTTGGACTGCTGCTTTCATTTCAGCTCCTGATCAGGTACAGATGTCCATTACAATAATTAGGAGCTGCTTTGCACTCAGATATGGCACATATCAGGGCAGCCCAATTTTGTGCAATCTCTATGTCCTTTCAGCACTCAGGGACTAAGGTGGGTGCCAGATCAGGGCTACAATAATATCTGTTCTGGCACTCCTGCAGTGCTAATTCAGTTCAGCATTTTTGACAAAAGACATACCCTTTGCTCAAAATCTGAAACCATGTTACTTGGGACAACACCAGAATTTCACAACGTGCTCAGAAACATAAAATATTTCTCTACCATTACCCAGGAAACCCTTAATTAATTTCTTATGTTGCTCTTGTGCTCCTTCTGTCCCAGCTCATGCCATACTTTGTTATGGACATTTTTTCTTCGCTGCCAGGAGTCCCAGGACTGTTTGTTGCCTGTGCATTCAGTGGAACACTGAGGTTTGTGAATCTGAATCGACATTTTAGCTGTTTATGATAATTTCTTGAGGATCCAGAATGAGGGAAAAATATGAAACCCTAAGAAAAGCTCAGCTGTTTTTTCTTAGAGCATTCTAGGAATTAGCAGTAGTTCTTTATTGAATTATGTTACATCCCTGGAGGTATTTAAAGGACATGTGGATGTGGCACTTAGGGACTTGGTTAAGTGGTGGACTTGACTGTGCTGGGTAAACAGTTGGACTCTGTGATCTTAGAGGTCTTTTCCAACCTAAATTATTCTATTATTATGTTTATCATAAAGTCTAACTCCACATCTCCAGTATCATCCTATCCCAAATACATTTTAGAATAATATTATCAATACAGACAAAGTGTAGAAAAACTAAGTTTAATTTCCCAAAATACTCTTGTGAGCTGCTCATGGTGATATTGTCTTTACTTAAGCTAACTGCCACAATATCATACTCAGGGGTGTGAATGTTTTCAGCAAGTCTGTCTGAACTGTATTCACCAAAGACAGGCTCACTCAGTGAGCTGGAGGAATTGGGCCATGTGTGGAGGACCAGGGTGGCACTAGTGGTGACTGCACATCCTGCAGTTTGTAAGGGAGTAAAGTTTTAACTCTGGAACTTGTCTGTATTTCAGGTCTTTGCAAAGTTTTAAATTGAAGGGTCTTTAGGATGTGTTTCTATCTTGTTCCATGCCAGCACGAAGCAGAGCCCCCAGAAGAAGCAGCAGAAACCTCCTCAGTTAAAGCAGCACATGTGAAAAATACTATGAGTCATACAGTTCTTGGAGAGCATTAGTGCTGAAATTCCTTGATTTCAGATTATATTGCCTCCTATTTACTTACCCTTCTTCTCCCTCCCTACAGCACGGTGGCTGCCAGCATCAATGCTTTAGCAACTGTTACCTTTGAAGACTTGGTCAAAAAGGGTTTCCCAAACCTCTCGGAGAAGATGAGCACGTGGATCAGCAAAGGCTTGTGTGGGTACTCCAGATGAGACCCATTTCTTTAGCAGCAAAGGGCACTGCCTAGAGAGACTCCCTCAGAAACACTTGCACTTTGGAAACCTCCACAGGAATGTAACACTTTATAAACCCTCAAGGTGAACATCAGCCTGATGCTTCGGTAGCATTAAGTATCAGCACCATTATGGCAGAGAAAGAAATGCAGACTAGCATTAACAGCCACTCCTCAAAATCCTTGGAAAAGTCTGGTCTGCTGAAAATATTGGAAAGCACTCCTCATAACACAGAAAGAATAACAATGTAGTTATTACCACATTATAGTAGTATTTATTTAGAGTAATGCAGTAATTTCTATTCAAATTTAGAGTACTGCATAAGCAGGTTCTTTAGCTTTTTAGAGAAAAAGTGTGAAAACAAAAAAGTAAAAAAACCCACAAAATATCATCAACATATCAAGCATCCAACATTATTTTAATTTTTAGGATATTTGTTACAGTTATTGTAGTAAGATCATAACCCTTTTATGAATACCATAATAATAACCATAATAATTTTATTAAAGTTTATAAATATCATGAAAGAGATAAACCCAAATATTTTATATCTCTGTAACTGCTTCTAGTCTTCTCTGTGTTTGTTTTTCCACTTACTACTTAGTTTTTTCACTCTGGACCTAGAAGGGTAATTTTTATATCTGAAACCAAGGTGTGCTAGCACAGAAGTTTTGGTTGGCTTTCCTCAAGACTTCTGCATACAGAGTTTCACCTACCATGAAGTTAAAATTAGTGTCAAGGGAAGAAAGCCATGCTGTTTTATCATTTCCCAGCTCATTTATTAGATTATTTTAAAAGTGACACTAAAAGGCAACAGAAACATTTCTACATGAGGCATAACTTCTAAATTAATCTCATTGCTATTGTTCTACTTTGTAAGGAATATCAATCAACCAAAAACCCAAGGAGACTTCACACAAGACACCTCTGGGTGTATAATGATCTGCTCTAAACATTCAATAAGAAGTGTAAATCTCTCCATCCTGCCTGCTCATCTCAGACATTACTGAGCTAGAAACCATCCCCACTATTAACCAGCACTGAGAACCTTGGTACCTTATTTTTTCCAGGTATATTGTATGGTGTCCTGTGCACTTCCATGGCTGCAGCAGCATCGCTGCTGGGAGGAGTTGTGCAGGTATTTCTCTGCTTCAGGAATGCAATTAATAGAATAGGAATGAACAGAAAATGTGATGAAGTGAGCAAATAATTCTGCCAGCTCTGATGGCTGCTAGATTACCTAAACCATTTCTGTGGACATTTTGCTGAGAGGAAAAGGGAGGTCAAAAAAGAAATCCCCTAACTCCTTCACTATTGACTCACTGCTAGGAAGCAATACTGAGCGTGATCCTCTCTCTAACTGTGCCCTGAAATCACTACTTATCCCTTCTTTCTCACTATTTTCCCACTGAAAATTACTGACCAAAATCAGAGTTGGGCATGCTTCCCCTCAGCCACTGCCCTGAACTCCTCTTTCTTCTCTGCACCCACAGGCTTCCCTCTCCATCCACGGGATGTGTGGGGGGCCAATGCTGGGATTATTTACTCTGGGAATTGTGTTTCCCTGTGCTAACTGGAAGGTAAGGAAACAAAAATCCTGATCTAAAAGAAAATCTCTTCTTCTTTTTTTTTTTTTTTGTTAAAACTTCATTTTGAAATTCATTTGGGTCTTTGAGCTGCTTTTCAGATTTAGCACCTGAGGATCTATCTATTTATACATGCCTTTTCCCTGCCTAAATTTAACCTGCTGAATCTAAGTCTACCCAGCTGTGGAATAATTGGTGATTAGATTCATATGAGGGTTTTCTTAATTTTTTTTGTTTGTTTGTTTCTGAGTTTCATTAAGAAGAAAAAATTATTCAATACTTGCACCAGCCTTGGGATGCACAGAGCAATTACAAAAGCTTTGCCTTCATTCTTCCACTCAAAACCTGAGTTCAATTCCATATTGCCCCTTTAGGATTTCCATCAAGGTTAGCAGAACTAACACTAAAATCTGTACCACAGCTTTAATCACACTTCTGCTTCAACTTTTATAAATAGAGGGCACTAAAGCACCGTGTTTTGTACCTTAGTTGAGAGAGAACAGGATTTGTTTACACCGAAATCCATCACTACCTACTCCTGCCTAATTCATATTCACAGAAAAGCACTTTCCACATATCATCTTTAACAGTATCTTTCTGTACTTGCCAAGGGTGCTCTTGGAGGCCTCTTAGCTGGGATCAGCTTGGCTTTTTGGGCTGGCACTGGCTCTTTCATTTACCCTGCACCACCAGCAAAGTCCATCCCTCTGCAGCTGTCTACCCTCAACTGCACACTGGCCAACAGCACCGAGGTGCTGCTGACAGCAGCTCCCTCCCTGGCTCCAGAGAGGTAATTTTCCTGTTGTTACCACTTAAACCTGTGTTTTGCTGAGTGTGCCAGCCCAGCCTGCAGCAGGCAGTAACCACAGGGCAGGCTGGGAGGGCAGACTGATACCAGGTGACAGCCTGAGCTGCATTTTGCTGGCACATTCAGGCAAGAACTCATCACCAGCTGCTTTTGTCACCTCTTCACAGGCCTTTGCTGGCGGACACCTGGTACTCCCTGTCCTACCTGTACTTCAGTGCCATTGGCTGTGTGGGCTGTGCCATCACAGGCTTGTTGATCAGCTTTGTAACAGGTTGGTGTCCTAAACATACATAGCCATAAATATAAATAAATGTGCTTTTGCATACGCTGGCTCTGCTGTTAAAAAAGCTCTTAAAAAGTCCAGCAGGTGACTTGAGAAAGATTCAGAAGAGGAGAGTGGGCTCTGATCCTGCTCCCCCACCTCATGGTCTGAGGTTCCCAAGGCTCACACCCAGCTATCCATACACTCACATATTATTATTTTCTTTTTGCAGGACCTAGTAGAGGAGAAGACATCCCACCAGTGTTAATTAAGCCAGTTTGCAACCTGTTTTGCTTTTGGTCCAAGAGACTCAGAGTATTCCTGTGGTGTGGAGTGCAGCACGACAGCCTGGAGGTGAGTACCTGAGGGCATCAGCTCGGCCCAGGAGCAGTCAGAACACCTGCATGTGCTGAGCACAGGAATAACCAGCTTTCAACAGCTGCTTTTGAACTTGTGCAAGGGGTGCTGCACAAGCACCACAGGCTGGAAATGAGATCAGCCAGACCTTGGTCAGTAATAAGTTACCTATTTTTCCTGTTTTCATCAAATATGGGGACTCAGGCTCTCCGAAAACAAACAGCCCTCAGGAAAGCCAGGAGCTCATGAAACAGGGTCTGACCTCCCTCTCCCTGTCCTCCTCCCTTGCAGACAAAACTGCACTTCACACAGCTCACCAAGCTATTGCCTTCCACCAAAAAAGACTTTAGAACTCGTTTGCTCATGAAGCTCTCTTGCTGCTGCCATCCCCATCAAAGCCTCTGCTCTCCAGATCAGCTCCAGTCAGAGTTGAATTTTAAAGATCTGGCTCATGTTTCAGATATTTTAAAGACAGAGTAGGTCCAATAAAATTTAAAGATATAGCACAGCTGTATTTTAGCTCACAATAAAACTTTTGCCCTCACTTCTCAGTCTTGCTGATAAACATGAAAACCAACAAATTTTCAAGTAAAGATAAGTAAGAGTAATCTCACAATCTCACCAGCATCTGAGCTGCTCCTTTCCACCTCCATCTCCTCCACAGCAACAGGGCCAGCTATTCTCCAGGTGTCCCAAGGCTTTGTAGCTCATTAAAAAGGCATACAGAATGAATACATTTCTTCTTGCACTGTTGTAATAGTTTTTCTTAATAATATTTTATTTCCTAATAGTTTAATCAAAGGAAAAAGACAGTGAATACAGGCTTTAAACTACAAGGGTGTTTTCTTTCTTTTCTTCAGATGGACTTTGAAAAAAAACTGCCTAAAGTTGCTGCAAACAAAACCAGAACAGATAACACCTTCAAGAATAATACCAACAGAGAAAATAATCACCGGATCCATGGTTACAAGTCTGAGGAAAATTCATATACAAATATAAGCAGAGAATCTCGCCTCTAGAAGCTGAGGGACAAGGGACATTTAATCAAACTTTAGTTCTTCAGAAATTAGTAACTTCTTTTACTGCATTTACCAGCTTGTAGGTGATCAAGAGGGAGCAATTGCTCCCTATAGCAATAAAGGACAGATTTTTATTTATGAATTTCTTGGCAGACCTGGGTAATGATCAGACAATGGGGTTGTGGAAGCACTGCTGTTTTAGAAGAAATGTTTCATGGATTTTGTTGTGGAAGCTCCCACCCAGACTTGCAGCTGCAATACATCTGCATCACACACTCTATTCAGTAACTCATATTGAAGGGAATGTGCAAAGGTGAGCTTGAGATAAATTAAGACTTCGGAGAAGTTTGTGAGATATCTCACTAAGGTGAGTCTGTGAGCTGCCCTGTGATGGAGAAGAGAGGTCAGGTTGAGCCTACACCCAGGTATCACAAAAATTCTCCTCACAGGAACCTTGTATAGACCAGACTGGTCTTTCAGTCACCGAGATAACTGTGCTTGCTTTGGGGAATTCAAGTTTTCTTTACAACTTCTCATTGTAAAAGCTATAGGAGAGAGTAACAATTTGTACTTTGAATTCAGGATAGTTCTTCATCTGTGTTAGTTTTCACCTCAAAAGGATCCCCTTTTATGCAATAAAGAAAATAAACCAATATTTAATGATGATCATGTCTCCTAATTGAGAATTCATGCTGATTTTTGAAAAAAAAGACACAGAATTAAGCAAAATAATCTGTCTGGTACAACGTCGTGGAAGCAGAGCCCACTCAGTGCTCTCTTTCAGTGAAACACATTTGTTCCAAAATCTGCTGGTTGTAAATAAAAGTCAACAGATCACCTCTCACCTTGATAAACTTTTGGATATAGTTTTTCAATAAATATATTTGTTTTCAAACAAAATTCACAACTGAATGAAACAGACAGAATGAAAAGATCAACGATGACTCATGGACTCAGCTGATACATTTAGCTTGTTTTTCTCTGAAAAGCCCCACTGTTGCTTTATCAGTGACCATCTTTATGATGTAGGTGTATGTCAATCTGGTCCTTGAAGTTACTTCCCCTCTCTCTGCTCATGCCCTACCCCTTGGAACTGGTCCCAGGATTTTAATTAGAGAACAGAAATAGCGGTCTGAAAATGACACTCCCTTGCTTGCATGGAACAGTTTGTCAAGAAACTGAGAACCAAGTCAATATTTGTGTTAATCCCTTTTACACTGCTTTTATAATCTCATTAAAGCTTCTAGCTGAGTCTGGCTAGCTGTTTGCTGTCTCATGTGGCATGCTTTCCCTTCCTGCTTCCATACTTGGGATGGTTAGCAAGGCAAAGATGGAAATTCAGTAAATACTACTTTATATCTCATGGCCACACCCCTTACTGATAAGGTTGTATTAAGAAAGTCTAACTACCCTGCCTAAGGATGTAAAATAATTCCTGAGTAAAAGTGGTTCAAAACACACATATGAAGCTCTATAGTCAGAGGGAGGATGATAAAACCCTCTCTAGTCGTTGGAGGATATCTGATTCAGAGATTTGTAACTCTGAAGACAATCAGGTTTAATTTGAGTATTTCTTAAAGAGCAGTATCAGTATTCTCTGCACGTGTTTCACAAGTCTGGCAGCACTGGATATACTACAGACTTACCACAAGTCATCTGCCACAGAAGAGAATCTCAATTTATCCATCTGATGTCAGGAAAAAGTGAGTTAGGTTTGCTAGAATTGCATTCTCTCCAAATGCTATTGAAGGAATATCCTGAAGGATTTTTCTTCAAGTATTGCCAGACTGGTTTTATTACAACTAAAGCTACACATTGAGCTCAAATTTTTTTTTTTTGTATTTTTAGTGGAGTCAGCCAAAGGGTTATACCAATTCCAACAGGTGGATGATACATGACAACATATGACGGCTAAAATCCATAATTCATTATTCAGCCTTCTAGGAAGATTTAAGGATAAGTTCTAGCAAAACTGGAACTCTGAGAAATTTCCATTCTTTTTAGATTAGTTAATTAACCTGTTAGTTAATCTGTTTAGTTATCTTCTCATTTCCTCTACATCCTGAGCCACTGATCTTTCCAGAGGCAGATCTAGCATGTCCACTTGGGTTGAAAAATTGAGATTATGAAACTAGGAACAGATAAATCCTAGTAGAGCTTAAATATAAGAAATTGTTAGTCACTAGTGAAAGCAGTACAACATAAATGACTGAAAATTTGAAAACTCAGTCTAGCTGTGCCTTGAGGCCAAAATAATTGAATATTTAATTGTTAAAAATACCTGAGTGAACCATGACCCTGAAATTACTTTCTTACAAGACTATGATTTGAATGCTCATGAGCACACACTTTTCAAGTATAAAATTGCTTTTAATTATCTTTGAATATTTGGAATAATAAAGCTCACAGCCTTTTTCAAAGATATCAAAGTTTATTACTGAAAAAAAAAAAAAGTAATAATCAAATGTGCATGATACAGCAAGTAGTTGCATTTGTATATGTAAACCTTAATAAAGTAAATAGCATCCCAAAGACAAATTTATGCCAAAAGTGTCTTACAATAGTTAATCAGATTTACAACTTTTACCTCAGTGAATTATTTTACTTCTGGGGTACATAGCTGCTTGTAAAAGCAATCTTAAAACACAAAAGAAACTGAAAGCTAACATGCTGGAGGAACTTACAGCTTTTGCACAGGAAAGTAGTTTTCTCCAAAACACTCTCTGATACTGTAAACTTGTTTTAAATATTACTTACAAAGTGTAGATTCATGAGTAGAAAAAATAGCTGAAATTTTATTCTTACTCCTTACTTAGAAATCAAGCTGTATTTAAACATTACATAAATTTCAAATATATACACATTTTAAGAAATCTCTTATGATCAGGATATTGCAAGTTAGCCAGGACTATCAGAGTAAAAAAATGACTGAACCATCTTATTCAGCTAGATTTTACATGAGATTATTTCAAAGAACCAAAATTTCAGTGATACTACTCTAGGTAAAAATTAGAGCCAACAGTTTGGAAGATTTTTCAATACAAAACTCCAAGTCGTTTAAATAGAACGTGAAAATAAAATGTGATCTGATTTTTTTTTTTCGTTATTAACAGAAAAATCATCGTGTTCTCAGTGGTTAAAAATCTCACTAGCTTTAGACTCCATTGGGTTTAATCCTAATTTTTTACCCTGTTGCATCCTAACAAGTAGCTCATGTCAGTAAGAATGCAAACTACAGAGAACAACGAGCAATACAGAGGTTGAATCAAGAAGATAGAATGAGCCAACAGAACTAACACAAGGTCATCTCAAGTGCAGTGAAGAGGGATTTCACCATCATTTTGAGACTAAATCCCAGGCCTGGATTTAAAAAGCTCCTGTGTACCATGGCATAGTGATTTCCCTATTGTTCCACTAGAACTTTGTGCTGTTGTGGTAACATTGTGCTGTCACGGTTACGCCAAGGTTATTAGAAATCCAAATTTCTAGTAAATGTGCTTGCAATGGCAATATCAGACAAAAATTGTCAAAACCAATCCATTCTAGAAATCTAAAAACTATACAGCTGTGTGGGGTATTTAGGATGTATGTGCATGTGGAGGAAGGGACACATGGAGAAAAAGCTGTGATGCTTGTGGAGGTGGCTGGAAGGACAGAAATGGCACAGGTAGTGGTGCCCCACACTGTCTCACACTGAGTATGCAATCAGGGCATACTGATTTGTAAAAAGCACCAGACAGACTAATATTTGTGTACTTTCTGCTTTGGCATCTCAGCAAGGGACATCCAAAAACAACCTGTAAAAAAAATCTGCTGTTACCGAATTGGTAATAAAACACTGAGGATAAATAAAGAATGAGCCAAAGGAGGAAAAAAAAAGATCAGGAGGTCTGTCCCCATGCTTCATCCTCAAACCCTTATTTTTCAGAGCCTGCTGCAATTCTAGAGCAAAACTTTCTGGAGTGAACATGAGCCCTTTGCTGCCTTCTGCTCATTCTCACTCTCCATACGTTGGTTGCTGAATTTTACCTCAGAAGAATTTGGGTTTTGTGAGTATGAGGTTGAGCAAGAAAAGACTTGGGGAATTTTTTAAGTTACTAGATTTTCCACTACAGGCATATAGGTTAGAATTCACTTAAACACTTTCAAAAAGTGTCACTGTATGCATTTTAGCCATACAAAGCATGCACTGGAACAAAATAACAGGTCTGCCTGGAAATGGACTTCTGTTTGAATTCTAGAATCAGCCTTAACATCAAATAATAATTATGAAATGCTGCCCTTACATTTGTTTCAAACTTTGTCCCCAAACAAGCAACATCAGCACTTTATGAGGATTCAAAAAAATGAAATGCTTCTGGAAGTACTACTGCATTGTAAGTGATTCCTGATACCACTGTTTTTATCTCTGTCCATTTTCTTAATAAAAATAGAAACTAAATAGAAAATGTGATTTAAAAAAAAAAATTCCTCTAACTTTATTGCATTCATAAGTAGCTGTTTGTATAAAATTAGTTTTACTGATAAGGCTATTGCCCAGTATATATAAAAAATCTAGTTTTAGTAAGTTTTAATGAAAATTAGTGACTTTTACAGGCTAACTATGCTAATTTGCCTCCAAACAAACCGTGACAAAATGCAAAAGTTTGCTAAGTCCCACAGTGCCATGTAGGACTTGGCAGGTGACTCCAGTGGATTCCCTGGCTCCAGAAATTCTCTCTGGCAACACTCCCAGTTGGAGTGTGCAGTGGAGGAAGCCAAAGCAAGGAAAGAGCAGATGTGCATTACTCATACGATTATACTGATCATCTTAATGGCACATTAAGAATAAAACATCACCCAAACTGTTGCCTTTCCCCATATTAATACTCTCCCTGAAGCTGTATTTCCCAAGGTATTTTTCCTTCTGTAGAACTTTTTATGAAGGAAAGTTCTGGAAATTAAGGTATTTATCTACTAACTTATTTTTTCTAGTCTGTCTAGACATTTTCCATCTGAGCTTTCCACAGGACACAATTGAGCCTAACTGTGCCTCAGAACACAATTTATGGCTAGTTGTTGGAAAAGCACAGCCACAGCTGATATGTATTTCATACTAGTGAAGATATGTACTTCCAAAGAAACATCTAACAAAAACAAAAGCTCACTTATCATCCATCATCACTATTGAAATTTTAGCCCTGACACTATTTTCTCTATAAATCCTTTCATGAAAAGGGTTAGGAAAGAGATGAATCATTAATGTTGCAAAATATCTCCAAAATTATCAGGTCCAATCTTTGACCATAACAAATAAATCACAACACTAAGTGCCACGTCCTGTCATTTCTTGAACACTTCCAAGGATGATGACTCCATCACCTCCCAGGGCAATGTTCCAATGCTTTCAAATGAAAAAATTCTTCCCAATGTCCAACCTGAACCTTACTGTGTGCAGCCTGAGGTTGTGTTCCCTTGTCTTGTCACTGGTTTCCTGGTAGAAGAGGCTGATTCCCTCCTTGCTACAATCTCTTTTCAGGTAGCTGTGGAGAGTGATGACTCCTCTGAACATCCTCATCTAAACTAAACCACAGCTTCTTCAGCCACTCCTCCTATAAATTAATCTCTCTAGATCCCTCAACAACTTCACTGTCCTTCTCTGGACAAGCTTCAGCACCTCAGTGTCTGCCTGGAACTGAGGAGCCCAGAATGGGACACAGTCTCAACACGTGGCCTCATCAGTGCTAGGACAATCACTTCCCTGGTCCTGCTGGCCACACTGTGACACAGGACAGGATGCTGTGAGCTTTTCTGTCCACCTGGGCAGAAGCTGGCTCATGTTCAGCTGCTCTTGACTAGCACCCCTAGGTCCTTTCTTCTCTGCCCCCAGCCTGTGGCATTGCAGTGGATTGTTGTGATCCAGGGACAAGACTTAGTACTTGGCCCATTGATGCAGCCTGTTCATATTTCTCTGCAGAGCCTTCCTGCCCTCCAACAGATCAACAATGCCACACAGCTTAGTATGGTCTGCAAACTCACTGAGGATGCTCTTGATCCCCTTGCTCAGATCACTGATAAAGACATTAAACAGAAGTGGCCTCAATACTGAGCCTTGGGGAACCACGCTCCTGACCTGGATAAACAGCCTTCACTGCACTTCACCCTCTGGGCATGGCCATCCAGCTTTAATTAGCTTTAATCCAGCTAAGAGTACACCTGCAGCCACCTTCTCCAGGAGAATGCCATGGGTGACAGCTTCAGAGGCGTCACTGAACTCATCATGAGGTTGGGCCTTGTTTCCAAATCTCTGCTGAAGGGCGCTCAATCAGCGTGCTGTGGGAACCTGAGCTCAATGTTCAGGCAAGCCTTAGCACTCAGTTTTGAGTACTCTTAATGCCTCCCTCTTTGTAGAGACAAACTTTGGGGAACCTCTCATTAGGATGGCCAATAAAACAGAATTCTTATTTTCCTTCTTTTATTCACCAAAATTCAGATCTCACACAGTAGGCACAAATTTAGAATAAAATGTCATAAGAAATTAGGTGTATAGCATGTATCTGGACTTTGTGCCATCTCTGAAATGGAAATTTCTTTTGTCTGAATCAAGATGCATAATTTTTTTAAGAATAATTAACACATTTTGAACAAACACTTTATATATAAAAAATCCAGTTGCTCATGCAGTCTCTCTAAGGGTGCATGCATAGAGCAAAGTTTTCATAGATTAGATCTGCAATGATCCAAAGCATTTTTGCACAAATTGAGGTTCTAAAGCTTTGTCAAATTTCACAAATGCAGCCTGCATGCACAGTCTAGTCATACGAGTCATTTTTTTGAAAAGACAATATTTAGAATATGAAAAGATCATTCACCATTCAAAAAATACATTATTCCTGAGGACAGTGTGTGCATTATTCTTTAGGAAAATAATGTGCAGTCCATGAAAACAGCATAAGCAAAGTCGAGCAAAAAGGTTTCTCAGCTTAAGCAAATGGCAAGACAGTGGCAAGACCTTTACACATTTTTGATGTCCTCCAAAAGTAAAGGACACACAGAGTGTTTTTCCAAATTTCTTGTGCTTTTCCAGTGCATAAAATGCACCATTTCAGATCTACACACTTGCCTTTCATATACTCCTATATTCCAGTGTTGAAAAAAAATCATAATATATATCTATATATGTAAATCTCAAATCCAAAAAAAAAATTTAATGTGGTTTTTCAAGTCCAATTGGAACTTGCCTAGGTATGTACTGACACATGCCAATATCAATAGCAGAAACAAAAAAGTATAAAATATTATTTTCAATTTTTGCCTGATTTTTACCCTGTATATGACTTCATAACTTTATAACTTGGGCCAGCCAAGACATTTTGTTTTTAGAGAAAACATTAAAAAAAGCTCATCTGTGACCTTCTGAAGCATTGAAATATTATCACTAGGTGGCACAGAAACAAAAACTGTGACACAGGGTTAATTCTGTTAAACAGTGCTTGACAATCCACAGAAGGAGACAGAGAGACAATAAATTAAATAAAATGTTGTGATTCTATTCACTCTGAGGAGAGTGCAGTAATTTTTTTTCTGATATTGACTCTTAAGGAACTTAATGCACAACCCAGAATATGAAGGAACAAATGAAGGAACAGAACAGCCTTTCCAAAATATGGCAAGCTGAGTTCCATCAATCCTTTATCACAGAATGTATGGGCAATGTATCTGATTGGACCAGATCTTCAAATTTATTTCTTCCTTTCATGCAGTACTACAGAGTCCTGTAAGTGCCTTGTCTGGTAACAGAGCTGAAATTAACCCAGAAATCTCATTAATGTGGTGAAACAACTGAAGAAATTAGAAGTCTGATGTTTAGCTCTCTGGATACAATCCAGATCCTATTTACCCGCTTTGATGGGCTCTTGAAATTAATTTCAGTGAAACAAAATAAAATTATTGTGCTAATAAATGCAAGTGAGTACTGGAATCACACTTTTTAATTCAACAGGGTAATGTAAATAGTGAAAATTCAGGTCTTGCCATATCTGTCAGCAGTGATTTTGCTGTAGCTTTATCCCTAAAAATAATGTCAAAATTTGTAGATTTTGTGGTTACTGTGCTTTGCTGAGTCTGTTTTTCAGATTTTTCTCATCCAATATAGAGAAGCATTATTTAAAATTGTACAAGAGAAAAAGAACAACTGTAACTCTGTTTATCCATTCCCTTCCCTGCAAGGTATCCCTTCAAACTTGTTTAAACATTAAGTACTTTTCCTGTATTATGAAATGTTAGTGACAGACAATTTCATCACCAGAATGTAACTATTAAGCACAAGCAACACTGCAGTATGCTGTTTGCACATAAAAACTGAAATTTGAATCTTCAATGAACATATACTTTTTTAGTGATTTTATCGAAAAAATCCCCCCCAAAGTGTAAGAAGGCATACTAATAATAATAATAATAATAATAATAATCATAATAAATCTAAGAGTAACCACAATGTGTGTATGCATTTATATACAACCTGTATACATATTTGCCTGTATCCAGCTCCAATGTTATGACATATTTAGGCCAATAAAAGTGTACATTACTGCAACATTTACTATTAGAATAAGAAGAACATTGTTACACTTTGCTCTTCTTCTCCTTCCCTGAACAAGCAAGCCACATGTTATACTGCATGTCTCATATATATCTGCAGAAGCTTGCATACTATAAAGATATAATTGTATTTTGAAGAGAAAGTCATTTGCACTGCATGGGAGTATTTCAAGTTAGCATTCTGTGAAGTCATGGAATCACTGCCCAGACTGATCAAGAGGAACAGGAACACAGTTAGCATGGAAATGACAGTTCTTTCACCCTGGAAATGTGTGGAGATGGCCTTTCCACACACATAAGTGGAAAGACAACTCAACAGCTGTGTAATTTTCAAACAGAAAATTACATTCTCCTAGCACTGCTGTTCTCTTTCGGAATTTGGACTTTTTGGTTTTCAACTAGATGGATAAATTAATGACACTGATGTGCAAATCTTAAACTGCATAGTATATATTTAGCAGCCACAGACCCCTTTTTTAGGGTAGGACCACATCCACAATCTCAACAAGAGACTAGGACAAACCTGACAAAACAGTAAGCCTGAAAGATCAAGTCATGGCCACAAAGGCAACAACTGCTCTGTTCTTTAGAGGCATTACAGATGGAGCTGAGCAATCAGAAGCTGTACAAGTAGTCAATATCACATAACTTGGTTTTAGCCATGCCCTTATTCTATATGTTCACAGGTAATTTGCTGTTTTCATCATATTGATAGTATCTTCATAAACACCATGAAAATCCATTGCCTTTTTTTTTAAACAGTGTCCAGACTTTTAATCTGTCTGCACATTTCTGAATGCCAATTGCCATTGGAGCTCATAATAGACCAGCTAGAGGTAAGGCTTTTTATTGTCATCATTGCAAACATCTATTTTCCAGTGCCCACTGAAGTATGCAACTGTACAGCCTAGCAAGAATATATATACACCACCACCAAATCTCACACAGATGCCAGACTGACTTCATTTTGTAACTTCACTCTCCAATTTCAAAGTGTTTTTGTTGTATGGTGGTGACTAAGGCCATTCGTGGTGATACTGTTTCCCATTCTTTTTCCTTTCTCTTTGCAAATGTTCCAGTTCAGCCTCATACATCATTTCCTGGACTAAGTATTTCTCTCTTCTCATTCTGTCACACAAGTCTTTGGGTATGTCTGGAATTAGGTAGGCAATGAAGGACTTTATTCCAAAAACAAGGTGCTGAAAAGAAAAACAAAAACAAATGCTTAATATATCAATAAGTATTCCTTTGTAGGTCTACACTTTAGAGCCTAAAAGTCTGTGGCAAAACTGGAACTGAGATTCAATGAGTGACTGAAAAGCAACTCCTTTGTTTTTTTTAAATAAAAACACTCATATGGGAGTAAATGAGCGATCTAAAAGAAATGGGCAAATGTTGAAGTTTTTAAAAAATTAAAGGGTAGAGTTAGTGACTTAAATGAAGATGTGACTACAGGATATGCTAGTTTGATCAACAAATTCAAATGCTACCTACAAGCAGTCTTTGTTCAGGGCTTATAATGGAAACAGGTAATCAGATTCCTGGGTAGCATGCAGTATGTTCTCCAAACTTAGTACATATTTTTCTACTTTTATATTCGTCTAGGATTATGTATAATTTTCCTGAAACAGATTCTCTATCTTGTAATAACTGTGCCTAGTATACTATACACAAAACTTGCATTTTTTCTTTTTCAATAAAATAGGAAAGATTGGGCAGGGAACCAACATGATGTATGACTGTTAAGGAAATATAATTTTAGAGGAGCTCTACAGTAAGTGCATGCTCTGTCAATTCAGTTTGAAGCAGCTGATAGACAACAGTTTGGGGAAGACTTCTTTTTCCTCTCTCTTGACTGTAATGAACAAACAATTGATTAAAATGACAATTTACTACTGTAAAGTATCAACTCAGACTTCTAAGAAGTAGAAAGGAATTGTTCCCTCCCACAACTAACCTCAAATACTATTATGAAGGCCAGCCTTGCTGCCAGGACATGCCAAAACTGCAAAGTGAATTCATATGGAGTTGAACTCCACGGTGGGGCTCTGTAGTCTCTGTACCTGCAAAGCAAAGAGAAACCCAGTAAATTACCCTGCTCAAAAACCTAGACATGGTCAAGTGGTCTCTAGCTCATCCCAGATCTGGCTAAAAGGAGAGAAATTGAAGTGAAAGCAGACTTCAAGAGGTATTAAACAGAAAGGGAGAGGAACTGTCCAGAATACAGGCTATTAAATAAATCTGTTTATGAAACAGTACTTTCTGCTTCCAAAAATCCAGAGCAAACTGTTCCTTTTATTATTACAAAGCTGGAGTGTTAAGTGTGTTGATTCTAAATTGGTTCTTGTCTTTGCTCATAAGCATTTGATATTCTCCAGACAAAGTCTGCATAAATGAAATATGTTTCTAATTAAAGTTCTAATTAACTCACTGCAAAACTGCAGAAGTCTGAAAACAGAAGTGCACTCATGTCATATTTCATTTTTATGCTGTATTTCTTGTATTCATCTTGTATAACTGTTTGCAATCTCAACCTGGGTTAGAGAGGTAACAAAAATTTTAATTGTGTATTTTAATTAATTGACTTCAGAATGCTTAACAAAATCGAAACGAGAATTTTTACCCTTCTTGACAGCTGGTAAAACTTTAAAATTAAATAACTCATAGAGACATAAAAGATAATGACTTGCATGAGTCCTGCAAAAACTTCAAACATAGATTTCCAATATGTTAGTAGTGTATCCTACCACACACTCTTTTCACCTGAGGCTTCCATGTGGAACAAACATGAACTCCAACACTTTTACAGGCAAAAAAGAAATGCCAGCAATTTCAGCACTTTTAATTTACTGTCTTCATTAATATCCATGCCTGTATAACAATAAGTTAGAGCATTGAAACATACCTACAGTATCCTGAGTACCCCATCCCGAGTTCACTCAAATCAAATACTGATAAACTGCTGTTGACATATCCTTTTAAGCATCTGAAAGAAAAAGCCACATGGGCAGCACTTTCTTCATAAATTGGTTATAAATAAACATCCTGCATGTAAACATATTCTGCTATCAGATATTTTGAGCATAATACTTTATTTGCTTATCAGGACAAAAGCAATTCTAAAGTTTCATGCCAAGAATTAAAGTTTCTTGGAAAAGAAAGATTAACGTCAGTTTCAGGTGTAGTGCTGTCTAAAAGTCTATTTGCAGCACTTCTTATGGTTCTGCTTCTTATCTACTGGGAGATATAAACCAAAAATAGCTGCTACAGTGTTTTTAGCTGTTTCCTAAAATGACTGAACTTGGAAAGATGGATAGAAATCCAGAGAGCAGAATAATTTAACATATCTGCAGAATCAGTCACCAATAATGCAGCATATACAAAAAAAAACAGGTTTTATGAGTTTTCACCAACAGTAAAATGAACAGTGCATATATACCAAACAGTGATATTAAAGACAAAAAATTATTACTATAAATTACAGAAGTCATGTAAATATATTGATTTATGACTGTAGGAGTGAATTTTTGCTGTTGCTTGAAAACCACAGACATGTAAAACATCCTGTCTTCTTTGAAACATGTCTTGTAACTTAACTAAAGCACATTTGAAAAAGAAGGAAGATTTAAGAAGAGATGCATGAGAAAACCTTTTATAATCTGTATCTTCAGGTTTGCTGTAATACCTCAAATCACTACTGGCAAAAGAAGAAATAGAATTACACAGTTCTCTCTTAAATGGGTAGTGTGCATTAAGCACTAATATTTTTCCAATACTGTCTCTTTTCATCCTATCCCACCTCATTATTTTTGTCCATAAATTCTCTTTTCCTGTGACAGCTCAGGAAGAGTAAATATCTGTTTTTGGGAGCATATATGTGTGTTGGAGAATGTACTGGGAGAAAACAGTATAGACCTAGTGCAGAAAAGAAGAAAAGCTTATCTAGAAAAGATCTGGAAACCACTGCAATGTACAACTTTTTTGTTTGCATTCAGAAGGGAAGACATGATTTTCCACTTATAAATCAAGCTACTTTGCAAACTCTTTGGAATGGCTGACTTACTTGCATTTCACATCTGTGAAGGTTTGCAGAGATGTAAAAGAAATGTATCTGATATATGTTAACATAGAAATACAGTGGTAAATTGTGCTTGCAGAAATGTATCTATGCTATTATAGAAATACAGCAGTAAATTGTGCTTCCATTGAAAAATACATGTATATATAAAGAATATCCTAATTACTTTTCTTGTCTGTACCCTTGATCTGTGCAGGGACCATATTTGTATGCATAGACAAAACGTGGAATGTAATCAGAAGTAATGGCAATAACAAAGGCATTGGTGATGACAGCCAAAACACCGATTCCTTCCAGAATTCCATACCAAATACCTAGAAACAAGAGAAATTTCAACAAAGCAGTCAGTTTTTTATAGTCACATTAAGGCATATAAAGTCATACTAGTGATAATAAAGTCATTATTAGTCATACAGCTTTCCTTTCTTATTGGGAATGAGTTATGAGACAGAAAAATTAGTCAAGATTAAGCCATGTCCCCACACTCCAGCCACCACCCACACCACCCAAATGAAATCTTACAACAGGGCACAACTTGCTGAGAAGATACAGCTAACCAACAAAGGCATAACCATAGTTTTTTGTTATAAGGATACAATTAAAATCTCCAAATAGTAGATTCTGGAAAGAGATTTCTTATTTAGCTCAATTTTAAATTAAAAGTTAACTCAGTCCTTTAATTTAATTTCTAAATTCAATTGATTTTAGACCTGGAGTTTCACAAATCAGAAGCCTGAAATACTTTTTGCCTGTTTTCAATATTCAAACTATCATGATTCCTTATTGTAAATGGGAAACAAACTTGAGGAATCCCCTTAGCAAAGAAACTATCCTTTTGTAGCCTAAAAATAAAGTTGTCACTGAAATCTGATGGTTATGTTACCATCTTGACACATTAAATACTTCAGGGGTTAAGGTGTTTTCAAGAAGAAAATAAAAGATGAAAGAAATAAAAAAAGATAAAATACAAAAGATGATTCCTGACAGTGACAGCCACCAGGTTCTCTCACCTATATCTGTTGCTCTTGCAGGCATAGGTCTTCGCCACTGAGTGACAAACTTGTATGCATCTAACCTGATTTCTATGATATTGTTCAGCAGTGCCAGGAGAGGTGCCAGTGGGAAGGCAGCAACAAAGATGGTGGTGAAGCCAAACTGTAAAACTAGACAGGCATTTCTATGGTAAGAAATTGTAAATTCCAAAAAATCTCTTAACACGCAACATAGATCTGTTTCCTGAAGAAAACCAACACCTCCCAAATTTGCTCACCCATCTCTAAATATTCATCCATTAAACCATGGAGATTCATAGGTTGCAGATTCCAATCTTTTTCCCACTGAGGTAGAGAAATTTTATTCTCCATTGATTGCCCTCTTCTCTTCATTTTGCGTCGTGACCACCAATTCTGTAATAAACTATTGGATAAAGAGAGTATTAATGAATGAATCTGCTCAGATAATTAAAATATGTTCTGATACTCTTTTAAAATAAGTGGGCCTATTTTGAACAGCACCTGGATGATTACTCAGGTATTTTATGGAAAATTTTACAATATCATCTTAGATACAATGCAAAGAACTTAAAAAAGATCTCAAAATTCTGCATTATAATTTTCATTATGTCTTTAATGTAGCATGTTTTGCATTATACAAATAAGCTTTTTAGAATATGGAACTTGCTTGAATAGACTTTTTTTTTTTGGTAGGATTTATCTGGATGACTAAATAATTTTTTAAAAAAATAACCACCAAGAAAAAGAAATCACACATAGCAAGAGCACTAAAAAGTAAATAATGTTTTATCTTCAATCCTGTAAAAGACAAACCAAGTTAGTAGAACTCAGTAAGAATGCCATACTAAAATACACTGAGGAGCAGAATACATATATTTTTGAACAAACCTAAAGATTTAGATAGCCTACAGAATATTCATTTTCTTAAAGCAGGAAAAAGCATTTAAAAAGGTGCTGCTGAATGCTAAAGGTGGAAATATTTAAGACAATTCTTCATAAAGCTGTGCAGAGATCTTTTCACAAAGTACCTATAAATATTAAGGAGATAGAAGGCTCATGAATTAAACTGGTATTTAAATTAAAGATACTATCCAGTACTGAGACATGAACCAACTAAAGACTACTGTTTATTTCTAGATATTATGGAAAAGAGACTAAAGGTGGGAAATAACTTTCTTCTAAGTATTTTTATAAAAAGGCTTCTCTTTTTTCTCAAGCTAATTTAGTGTTTGGCTCTTGATCTCTCTTGTTACTGAAAGACAAACTGTTGCCTATGTTGCAAACAATGGTTTTGTACAAACAAAACATTTCTTTCCATAACAGAATATAAACATATTCTAAAATAAATTTTAGACAAAGTTAACATCCTGCTTGGCTGAGAAGACAGGAAACCTGGCAGTTCAAGTGGGCTTCTCAATTTCAAAAATCCTCATTCCACAATATACAGTACATGGTCCCTCATTTGCAGAACAATTGGAATTGCATGTTGTGAGCAAAATCCTTTCTAACATATTTGATAATTGGGACTTCAATTAGAAGTTACTTTTTCAAGGTAGAGACTTCAATGATCAATATTTTACTGGAAATACATTCTTCCCATTCCAAGAGAAGACTTTTAGCTCATTAGGCATTTCAGAGGCTGAAAATCTCTGTATTATGGAAAATTAAATAGTAATGAACAAATTGGATGTTTAACATATCCTGAGAAGCTTTATCTTAAAGCAGAAGTTAATGCTTTCCTTGGGAATAAAGTGACAATATGTGAGGTGCAATGAGTGAAAACATCCTCCTAACATATAACCATTTCTCCTTGTCACTGAATCATGCTAACATGTATTCACTGTTTTTAAAATGAACTTTAACATCTGAACTTACGGATAGCCTAGTTCCATGAAGTTGTTCCACATTTGTTTTAAAACCATAATAACTCCCATTTGTAAGCACAGATCTATCAAGCAGCCACTAGGATGACACTGAAATGAAGTGAAAGAGATCAATAACTAAAATCAGAGAATTCCTTTATTTTTATTTGTTCAGAGTGAAAATAAAAAATATTAAGTATGTGTGGTGAAAAATACTAATCTCCATCTGCATAAATATTAAAATAAATGTTAATAAAATAAATATTAACAGACCTTTAGACATATTGTTAGATATTAGATCATATTGCCTAATATAAAGGTTTGTGTGCCAGATATATGATAAATGATATAGACCATTTCACTTAGACCAGTAAGTACTTACTCATTTCAGAAAAATGGAGCAATATTTCATTTGCAATAATCTAAGCCTAAAGAGAGATTTACTAGCAAAATTTCTGGTACTGATATGTGATATATATACATATATACATGTACTGCCATATTAAAAAGCCAAGTAATTACAGAACTATTTTTTTCAATTAATGGACTACAAAGTTATGATATTTTACTCTGTGGCTACCAAGTTTCAGTAGAAGAAATCTGTTTTTCAGAAAAAAGAGGAAACTTCAGCGTACTGGTGGGTTGCGATTCTAACATTCAAGTTAAATTTTGAAAATATTCTTTTTCTTCTTTTAGAATTCTATAGAGTTATAGATCAGTTTGGGTTGGAAAGGACCCCTTAAGATGACCTAGTCCTGCAATAAGTACTGCCATTTTCAATTAGATGAGTGCCATCCAACCTGACTTTGAATGTTTCCAGGGATAAGACATCCATCACCTCTCTAGGTAACCTGTCCCAAAATAAAAAAAAAAACCCAAAAACTCTTCCTAAACCTGCTCTAAATCTAGCCTCTCTAAGTTTAAAATAATTAACCCTTAAAGTTTAAAATAATTAGCCCTGTCTCAATAGACCCTACTAAAAGTTTGCCCCCTTCTTTCTCATAAGCACCTCTAAGTACTGAAAGGCAGTAATAATGTCTCCTTGGAGCCTTCTCTTCTCCAAGCTGAGTATCCCCAACTCAGCCTGTCTTCACAGGAGAGATGCTCCAGACCTCTGATTCATTTTGTGCCTCTCCTCTGGACCCATTCCAACACATCTGTGTTTTTTTCTGTGCTGACAGAAATTTATAAAGTTGATTAAAAAGCTGATGACTTTACATTTATGTCCTCTATCCAAAAATTCTAAGTACCAGGTGATTCCAATCTTGTAGGACTCAGTGCTTGTGAGGAAAGGGACTATTCCTGATGGTTTTTCCCTAAGACAGAGGCAGAAAGAACTTGTGTTCTTGGGCAGAGTCACTCAGCAAACTGGAGAACACAGAAGGAAAAACCCATGTATCCTATCCTTTGCTATCAGTAAGAATTTAGTATTTGCTGCACTTGGAATAAAATCTTTAAACTGGGATTCAGCCATTTCCTTTTTACTTATGGAAATATCACAGGAACACAAAACAGTATTGTTTACCTCTTCCAGCCTCCATCTGTTGAAAAGCTTGTTGTACTTTCCTGGGCGGCCTGCAAATCTGGAAAATAAGATTTCTGTTTCTCAGTGGACATTCCAGGAACACCCTGTATCAGTGGTTGTTTCATAACATCCACTGAATTCAGGAAATGTCAACAGAATAAATCACACAGGCTTAAATCTGGTGTGTCCATAGGATATGGAAGTTTCAGAATGCAAACAAAGACAAGTGAGCCTAAACTTTTATTATGTCCTGAATAAAAATCTTAGCTTCAGAGATTTTAGATGTTAGATATTCAAAATCTAACCTGCTTCTAAGAAGATAAGCAAGCCATTACAATTAATAGGAATTAACTGCAGCACAGGGATCTGCTTGCCAAGGTGAAGTGTACACTGGACTTGTAAAACAATCTGGATGACCTCAATGGAAGTCATAAAAGAGATAAAGAAACCCATGCCTGTCCTATTAGATACAGGAGAGAGGAAGACACAAACAAATTTTGATACTGTATGGCAAATAGACCACTGAATGCAACAAGCAGATTATCACCAACAGTCTTTACTAGGCTTTTTTGTTTCTTTGCTTGTTAATTTTTTTTCCAAACCATCTTGAACTGAAATTATACTATAAAACTTTATAGAAGATACCATGAAATATTCTGCAGGTTCTGTGGACACGGTAAGTGTGACCATAACAAAATTGAACTGAAGATGAAGCAAGGTTAGATCTGGGCTGTATCTCATGCTCTAAGCTAAAGATACACACAAAAATTGGAGCCAGAAGTTTTGCTTCCTACTCTTGTGTAAGATTTGCCAGACAATGTTTACTATTTACAGAAATGCATTCTTGGAAATGTAACTCAAGGGCAACAAACAAGAAAATATTAATAAAGCCTATTAACACAGGGCTAAATACAGACCCATATCTAGGAAGTGATTGCATTTTCTAAAGTTCTGAGTTCTTATTTAGCAGGGAAGTCACATACACCTCATAAAAAAGTAGAATTTTTACTCTCTAGTTTCATGAGTAAACATTTTGAGGGTCCAACCCCTCCTTACGTTTGGAAAAATTTAGTGTTGTAATTATGCCCAGAAACCAACTTGTATCTAAACCTCACAGTTCAAGCCATCACTGTTTTTTCTCAAATTTACAAAATCTGTGAAGATTTTGAGTTCTGTGCAAGTTTTCTTTTAAGTGCACTTGGCAGAGATAACTTACCTGCCAAGAAAAAAGGCAATGTAGAAGATGGAGCTGTTCAAGTTGACAAACTGGAAAAGGAACATTTTCAAGGCAAAGCTGTTTTCCCACTCAGATTCTGTTCTAGGGTGCTCTTCAGAAAGACACAATATACATTATATAAACAAAAATGAAACTGAGTTATGCATAAGTCTGCTCACAAATCAATCAACACCAACAAAACAAGTGATGGTTTTAAGTCATGGTGCCCCATCATGTTGCAATTGATTTCTTTTCATTGCCCCAGCTCAGATTATATTGTTTCTATGTATAAACAGAAGATAGAAGCCCCTTGGCTCAGAATAAATCATAATACTACGGGAAGAAACCTGTTTCACTTCCATGAAAACATTTGGAAAGTAGTGTAAATTTTTTATCTTAAGATTAAAGGTATCTTGATTCAAAGAAAAAAACTCAACACAGAAAAAACAAACAAAAAAACCCACAAAACCCAACCAAACAACAACAAAACCCCCAAACAAACAAACAAAACCTAAACCAACCAACCAAACCCCTCAAAAAATGTGAAAGCACTTGGAATCAGTGGAGCAATAGATGGGGGTTACCAAGGGAAGCAGAGGTGAAAAAGTCAACTAAAAGCCAGTTGATCTCTCATCCACACTTCTCAGCTTCTAAATACTCCAGTAATTACTTCATTAATTACTTCATCCTCAAGCCTTCCCTTTCATAATGCTTGTGGAGTGCCAAACAGTTCATAACTCAATGAGGAAAGGACAGAGGTTCTTTCTTGACTTCTTTTAGAAAGAAATGTAGAAATGTGTAGTAGGGCTACAAGTGTTCTTGTGTACAAGTGTGTGGGTCTGCCCTGCCTTGGATATCTGTCCTTAAAGTTTGTAGGACATCATGTCTGAATTAGAACTCGGTGATAATGTTTACAAATTAATTTTTACAAAATCCATCTTTGATGGAAATATCAAAGTTAGAATATAGTACACTGGTAAAAGTTACAAAGCACAGGAGTTGTAAAGCACATGAGTTGTAAGCCTAAACTGCCTGGATTTGTCAGTTAAAATCTGTTACTACTCTGGTGAAATGATGACTAAATTTGGATAGAAATACCCAGGATACTAGCTTTACACATGGACAGCTGTTCCCAGAAGGGTTCCTTTTCTGATGTAAAACACCTTAGCAAGAAGAATGAGCTACCTGTCTGAAACATCTAAGTCTATGAGCTACCTAGCTTGAACACCTAATGCTCCATTATGTTTAATTCAATAAATCATTTTTGAAAAAAATTCATGTATTGTGGGAAAAAACTGCTTATACACTCGAACAATTATTTTCTTTCCCATTCTGCGACGTGCAACAATACAAAATATTTTTAAAATAATAGAAATAAGTTTGATATGAAGAGATATTTTAAAATATTTTAATAATTTGAGTAAGTTGACTATAAATTCTGAATTTTTCTAGCCTGTTCTACTGCCTGTTACCTGAAGCACTATAAAGTTTTGAGCACCTCGTTTAATATAACTAAAAGAGGGATCTGTGGAATTTAAGCAGCCAGGTGGCATTTAACCAAGACAAGATCACTTGCATAATTTGACATGGGTTAAAAGTGAGCATGTAAAATGAAACACTAAACATTAATACATTGACACAGCCAGAGATCTTATATTCTGTCTTTGCTTTCTTGTTTTCTATTAGCTAGAAAGCTTTATGTCTGTGATTGAATCATGACTAGAGGCTTCAGTATAAAATTTTAATGTTACAGAAATGGAGCTACTTTAAAATTCATGACTTAACATTTTTATCCAGGACAACTTAATTTTATCTTAACCCATTTTTTTCTGATCTGAAAGATTAAATTGATTTAATTTTAACTTGTTAAAATAATAAGAAATAAACCAAGCATTTGGAGAAAACGGAGAAAAACCCTTTAGCGCAATAAGAAATAATAAGTTTTGACTTTTGCTCCAAAATAATATTACTGTTTTTCAATGTATACTATGAAACATTAAAAGCAGAAGTATAAGAATAAATTCCTTAGTTTTATTTTTTTACCTCAGTGAAATAATAATTTGTTTTCTTTCTGTGTTATTTCTCACTTGCTTAGAGAAATGCCAAAAACATACTTCATAATGAAGCTTTCAAAACACTTCTTTAAAGGTAAATAAGTATACTATAAAGGTATATGCCACAGCCAGCAAGAACCATACAATGGGTAAAGACCTACATACCTAAGTCTGTCAGGAGATAGGCAACCTTTTCATATACCTAAAACAGAAATGAAATGGTGTAAGTGTTGGACATCCTGGCTGATGTGGTGACAAATCTAAAATGAAAACAAGCATCAAAAGCATCAAGGTATCTGGACAGACAGGGGAGAGTGATGCTGTAGCTATGTGATCTGTATAGTTTCCTATAAAGACTTCATTCAACTCCTCCAGTCCCACTCTCTTTATCCATGTAAATGTATATAAGCATGTATAAATGTACATTAAATACACAATAACTATAAACGAAAACCAAATAGATCAAGAGAAATATTCAGGTATCAATGGTTTTCTTAATGAACAGTTAGATGTTTATCCTTTAATTTCAAGAATGGACTTATGTAATCTAAAAGTAGGCAAAAAGCCTTGACACAGTTTTTCTTTGCATGAATCTGGATACAGGTTGAGGATATCAGCCTTGTACTGAAAATTTATCTCTCTATATATTTACTATCTCCAGTCTTTATTTTAAATGACACTTAGCCCCAGGCAGTTACCAACTCTGAAATATATTTCCTGGAGTATACTATAAACAGCAAGTTAGTTTTGATAGCTTTGCTTGTTCACTTGAATATTTTTTAATGATGTGGAGTGATCATATATAATAACAGAAATAACTACAGGACTGTGGAAGAATTATTGCAGTGAATGCAATGCCTTAATAGAATTAAAAGGCAATGTTACTGTTAAGCTGGGTTATTATTCTTGTTGAGCTGTTTCTGCTTGCATGTGAACAAAAGACAATAAATTACAATGCAGCTGAAAAAACACGAGTTTCTGTCCATGTAATGCTATAAGAGCAAATGATTCAACCTGTGCTGTTACATGACAGAAAAAACTTAACAGCAAAATCATATATCACAGTGATTCTAGGACTGTGCAACACTGGTATCAGAGCTGCATTTTAATAAGAAAGGTAAGAATCCAAAGTAATTAATCAAAAACAACCTGGAAACCAAATTCTAAGTCAAGAAAATAATGTAGTTCCAATTAGAGATCTACTGAAAAAGGTAATATTAAAAAAATACAAATGTAAAAAGCAGCAATCTGTACCCCTGTAACTTGGTGCCATAAGAAAATATGTGCAGTGACAAATTAAGGAGGAAGTAGAGAAAAACACTGACAAACATTTTATCAGAGGAGAAAAATCCACTGCAATACTAGCTTCAGACACTGCTACATGAATAAGCATGAACATGTATATATCTAATACATGGTTAACTCAGTAAGCTTGTAAAAATTACTCTTTTAAATTAATTGCTCCTTTAAAAGAACAGAAGACTTACAACATTGAGTGACATGATGATCATAAAATTGATACAGACTCCAGTGCCAGAAGTTGCAAACTGCCAATACTTCTTGATGAAATACCACTTGAAAGAAGCAAACTGCTCCATGGCTACCAGTCGATATACCACAACTGCAAACACTGCAGTAAGGACCAGTGAAATCTACAAGTATGTATTTATGAGCAGAGGTATTAGAAGAAAAGAAATCACATCTGAAATAAAATCCACTGAAATAATAAAACAAATGTTTTAAAGATTGATATTTGTCTTGAAAAGTAGAATTTGAGAGAATAAAAACAATAGATGAGTTAAAACATTTCTTTACTGCTCTTTTACAATATAACTATATTCCATCTTATGAAACCAAGAGATCCCTGAACAAGCAGTAAGACAGACAATCAGTTTTGCCTATACTTTGGAAATCCACAAATCTTAATGAATGCAGTCATGCTGAGTTACTATTTACATCAGAATAAGATGAATTACAATACAATAATTCTTATATTATTAAACATCACCATGAAGAATATTCCTGAGACAGACACCATCAGTCGACTGAGTTTATCAGGGAAAGGCTGAAAAGGTTCAGGTTTTCCTGTGATGGGATTTACTCGTTCCACTTGGGAATATTTAGCTTCAAACTGGGGACGCAGCTCTTCCTGGAATGACAGGGTGGATTCCATTTGTTGTATTACTTCTGTCTCTCAAGAACCAGACATACATGTGCTATAAAGCAGAATATTATACTGATACAAAGTATTTTTTATAATTCTTCAACTCAAACACCTAAATAATTTGCTCTTTTGAAAATCCTTGGAAGCAGTGCCAGAGATCAGCAAAGAACAGAAACCACAGGAGCCTTTCCCACTATGTGAGGGCGTTAAAAAGAATCATGGATCATATTGCTGACTTAGACACTGGATTGTCTGCAAAAATTGATAAGAAAACTATAAATTAGGGCCAGTTATAATGAAGCTTTTTGTGTTATGAGAGCATTTATTAAAAGCTGCCAGCTTCCATCTACCCATCCATGGAAAGCTGTAAAACAAGTGAAGCCTATGGACTTAAACTGCAATTAAATTGCCAATATAGGTGAAGTACAGCTTTGCCGAGTAGTGATTTATGGAAGAACAAAATTTCATTATTGCTGATGCTGATAGCATCATGTTCAATGATGTTCAAGCATGATGTTCAAGGATAAGCTATGCCTCTCCAAATGATACAAAATCTAGTTTCTGTCTTGTTGTTTTTCTTGGTCCTATGTTTATGCAGGATCAGGAATTTCCAGAACAAGAAACCATGGAACTGAAAGGCAGCTATGCTGACATAAGAAGTAGCCCCTGTCCTCTGTACAGCAATTATTTCCTCTCATTTTTTCCAAGGATACTTCTAATAAATGTAGAATTATATTTGGAATTATAACGTTAGTTGCAAAAGGCAAAATATCCTTGCACAATCTCAAGCACACCTTTGTATTCTGCAACTAGTGCTATAAATGCAAATACCATCTGAATGACAAACTCAGATGACTGACATACAATATGGGTTGATACTGAGACTTCAACCATGCTGATAGCGAGGCTTTACATGTTTACTTCTGTTTCTTCTTACCTCTTCATCTTCCCAGTCTATGAGGTCCCAGTCATAAGTTAATACAGCTCTTCGTCTTTTCCAGAACTCTAGAAAGACTGTGGCTGTGGAAAACAACTGTACTTTAATTACAGGGGGGAAAAAAGGGCCATGCAGATCTTAAGAAAATCATCAGTGTCACAAGTATCATTAGCCACTTTCTGACAGTTCTCCTCATAGAATCTGAAAACTCTAAGTAGTTTCAGGATGATCCCTGTTAAATTTAAAATACTATTTGACAATGTTTATCTAAGAATCATATTTTTGTTGTCTGCAGTATATGTACAGAGAGAAGTACCTGTCAATATGAGACATTGCCATCCCTTTAAACTCATCATTTTGCTTTTCATTTTATTCAAAACATAAAATCTTCTCTTGAAGAAACAAGGATACACATGCACAATGATATCTATTAATAAAGAGCTAACAGCTATCTCATTCAGTTCAAGTAAAACAACCTCATTTTTTTCCCAGCTATAAGTTTTATACTGAAGCAGTTTTGCTACTAGAATAATTCTTTAGACAATTATTTCTAATCCAGTTGTGAGACCATAATCAGATTCTCCATGTACTTAGGGGTTTCTATAAGATAATTACAACTTATTTATAACTCCAAATTTCCAAAACATCACAGTCTACCACTGAGGGCAAGACACCTTGTTTAGGGTGTGATTCCTGACAAAACATAGAACTGTCCAATTGTTCCTTGGAAAACAATGAATTCAAACAGGAAGTAAAAAAATTTGCTTCCTTCTAGAAAGCCAACTGCTCAGAAGGATTTCTAACTCAGAATAAACAGGATGGTGTTTATCAATATTTCTGTACTATGTTTAATATCTTTTTGGGTTTCTATACGTACTTGATATATAATTAGTTACATATATTATACCTATATCTACATAAATATACACGACTTATCTATATAATATATTAAAGCACAGCAACCAGAAGTTAGCAGAAGTTCACCACACCACTATAATCCATAAATAATGGATTGTTAAATGAAAGGAACCTGTCCCTGACTATTATTTCTAGGTAGTATGTGCTTTTATTCTTTGAACCATGGCTCTACAGATGTAAGTTTCAGATGCTCGTAACAAAAACCGCAGCCAGCTCTCAATTTAAGCAGTAGTGGAGTTTACCACAACCCATAATAGGTTCTGGTACTATATGAATAACAAAAAATGATGTCTTTTATGTTACATATGCACATGAAACGTTTGACAATGCAAAGATAAACAAAAGCTTCTATCTAAATGAAGCAGGTGAGGCCAAATCCTCAGTTAACTGTACTTGTCAACTGAAGCACCTTTTCCAGACTCACCTGAGGTCCTAAAAAAGCTGCAATGTTCTCTTTCCCACAGTGGAAGAGAATTCATGATAATTTTGCTGTGCTACAGGGCTACTGAGAAAAAAGCTAAAGGTATATAAAATCCTTGCATTTTGGAAGAAAAGCAAGTCACAAAACTTCTGCTGTGGTGTAAAGTTCTAGTCTAAATAACAGTGAAAAAAACATCAGAATTTTGAAAGTCCAGTATATGTCCAATTCTACAGAAAGATTCTTCCTGAAGCCTGACTTACTTTACTGCATCACACTGTTGGAAAACACACCAGTTTAAAAATTTCTTACATAACCTTAGCCAAGTGTGTTCACATTTGCTCTGGGGGAAGGAAACTGAAGATTCCTTCCTTGTATCTCTAGGTGAGGCCTGATGCACTTTGCATTTCAACAGAAATGGGAGTAGCTCCAAAGAGACAAAGCCATTGACAGAACATCAACAGAACATCAGTGGCCATCTACCAACATCTACCCCAGACTCTGCCTCTGGCAGAGTTGGAGACATCTCTTCCAGGAAAGACTGGTAAGAAAATCAAGAAATGAAGATCTAATTAACATCAGAAGCAAAGAAATCCATATCCAATAGGAAACCAAATACTAAGAACGAAGAAACTTGGAACCAATGAACACCGACACAATTCCTTTCCATGAGTTTTGGCTGCATAAAAGACCTGAAAAATCATAAAAACTATGTGTCATGGAATGATTCTCTCTGCACACCTGGGCTAGGTGTGGATGAGATGATTTCTGTGGTACATCCTGGCCAGACAATAAAGGAACGCAGTGAGACGCCAAATTAAAAACGTTGTTGAAGGGTTTTTGTTTTTCCTGCAGTTTCGGTGACAACACCACTAATACCAACTGTTGTGGTTTAACATAGCTTGGTTTTAGTTAAGGAGAAAATCCATCAACTAGGGAAATGATTCTTTGTAAAAACCTTGTCAGCCTCCTTCAGACCTGACAAATCCAATCAGCTGGCTAGTTTTGAATACTGACACCCTTTTAAATCACTTTAGAAAGCTGAACACGCCTCTGTGAAATCACATTTAAAAACTAACAAAGCCTGGAAAAAAACTCTCTTGCTTCTGGTTTTTGGACAGGTAACTGGGTGCCCGCCTGTGGCCTGGCCAGGTTGGCCTGTGGCGTGGTGCAGCTGAGATTCTGCTTCCAGTGAATTCCAGCCACGGCTGGCAGAATCCACTGGAAGCAGAATCTCAGCCGTGGGCCAGGCCAGCTCTGCTCGACTTTGGTGGCGCTGAGGCGAGCCCTGCTGTGGCAACAAGCCACCGAGCCATCCTGCCACGGGAAATCACACTGCTAAACCCAGAGGTGGCTCTGCAGCCCACCCAGAAAAGCAGTCCTGCAGCTAGAATTAAATGCAGCAGGGGCTGGAAAACAGCCATGCTGCCAAAACAGCCACTGCCATTCTGGCCCAGCCCCTGAGATCCTGGCACAGACCCTCCAGCATGGCCTGAAATCGTGGCCTGAAATCCTACACTGCGATCGCTCCAGCTGCTGCCCAGCACGGATCACACAACCATCAGCAGGCCCAGGCGAGATATTACCTCTTTCAGTACACACAATAAACTTACAGACATCAATCCTCTCTTGAGTAAGAGAAAAGGGAAGGGTGAAGACACGTCAAGAAAACAACATAGAGACACCAAAGTCAGTGAAAAAAAGTCAAATCCCAGATGGGAGGAGAACGAAGAGATGCCTTAACCTTGGGATCAAATTCTCCTGTAAGGCTATGGTGAAGACATAATTGGTATATCAACTATTTTCCCTGTAATTCCTGAAATGCATTTGTGGGGATGTAACATTAGAACCACAGCTGTGAGCAGAGGCATCCATGCTGAAGCAAACAGATGCTGAAGTAACTGATCTAATGAGAAGCCTGAACAGAGAGAGATGAGAGAAATGAGAAACCTTACACCAGGGATAGAAGAGGATCTCTGTTCCCAGAGATGAAGATGATCCCAGAGATGGATGAAAAGAACTTTTGCTTTTATACTAAAACGGCTCATCCTTAAAGTTGCACCCCAATAAGCTGAGATGACCCATGGTGGTAGTTGTAGGAAGACTACCAATGATGGGAGGGACTTCATGATTGCAGATTTCCAGGTGGCTCCTATCTGTGGAAATTAAAACCATGAAATAACTGTTTCTTGTGAAAAGTCTCCATAGCATGACAGAAGAAACTCCTCTCCCTAAGTGAACTGAAGAAAATATTTATTTTAAAGTGGTAAACTCATGGAAAATACCAAGTTTTCTCTCTTCACATTGTTAGTGGGGAAGAAAAGAAGTGGGGGGAAGAGAAATATTGTGAAAGTTTATTCTGATACTTATTCTTCTTCTTTTAGTTCTGTTAATAAAGCATTCTTTACACTCTTTAAAGTTTTGAATCTACTTTGCTCTTCTTCTAATTCTTATCTCACAGCAAAAAATGAGTAATTTTAGTACGTGCACTGGCATTTGGCCAGTACTCAACCCACTACATTACTTGGTGCTGTGACTCAGATTGGCAAACAAAAAACACACCATCCATCTTAAATTGCTCTCCACGTAATCCCCTCCAGTTCTGGTTAATAGGAACTTCTTACTCAATCATCTCTTATCCTGATCTCCACACTCTGAAAATTGTAAGCCTTGATTTTTATCAATTTCTCTAAAAAAATAAGACATGCATGACTAAGCCAACCATTTGCACATCAAGATGAGACCATGCATGTTCTACCATTGCTTTTGGCAGATTTTCTCTCTTCTTCAAGGTTTCAGAGTTATTTATAGGGAACACACAAGCCTCCAGTTTCCCACAGAAGAAATTATCTGGTGCCTCCCCTGCTTTTCCCCGAGCACACTGCAGTTCAGAATTTTAAATCTCAATACACATATTGTACTTCCTTTTGTTTTGCCCAGAACTGCAGTAAAGATCACTCATTTAGTGATTTATTCAATGATCTGCAATACAGTCTGCAATTCCTCCCATTGTACACGTCCAAAGGTTTCTTATTTAAGTTATCTTTATGGCACTTACACTGCCAGTACTCATACTGATGAAGATCAAAAATCCTGGTATTATTTACCTTGGAAAAGACCTCTTAGACATCAAGTCCAACTGTTAATGCAGCACTGCTAAATCCACCACTAAACCAAGTCCATAAGTACCACATCTACATGTTTTAAAGGTGTCCAGGAATGGTGACTCCACCATTTCCCTGAGTGGCCCATTCCAATGCCAGACAACGTGGGCACACAGTTTGAGATGACTGGGAATGGGGCTGTGGCTGAACTCATCCCTAATGGGCTGCAACTGTGCAAGACAGGTGAACAATATTGATGACAATGAAATATGGAGTGCTGTGGTGTACTGACCAATCACAAAAGGATAGAGAGAGCACACAGGTGTAAATACATGTAAGATGAATACTACAAAAGGTTGTACTAAAGAACAATGAAGTGCTGATGCTTCAAGCCTTCTTTGGTGTCAGTCATACCTCCACTGTCAAGATAACACTTCTTGTGAAGAAATTTTTCCTAATATCCAATCTAAACCTACCCAGGTACAACTTGAGGCCACCTCCTGTCATCCTGTCATTTTCTGCTCAGGAGAAGAGACTGACATCCACCTTGCTACAACCTCCTTCTGTTAGGTAGTTATAGAGAGCAATAAGGTGCCCTCCAAGCCTTTTTATCTCCAGGCTAAACACCTCCAGCTTCCTCAGC